CTGTGAAAATGATTTGACTGTATCTGCCATAGAAGAAAAGAATTTATCAATTGGGTGTATTTGTTTATCAGTCGATTCTGCCTCTTTATTTTTATGATAAAATCCATTAAAACTGTTGGAATAATTCGTTTTCTGCCGACTTTTGGTGTAACATGTTACGTTGTCTGAGAATGTTCAGCTCTTTGTGATGCAGCTCTGGTGCATGTTGCATTTCTTTAACACTTCCAGGCAAGGATGTAGGTCTTCTTGTAGGTCTTCTTGAGTCGGTATCAATTAAATCATCATATGCCAAGTCCACAGATTCCAAAACTACTGAATTTACTTCAACATTTACTTCAACTAAAGTATTTGGACAGTTCGTAATAGTTTCCTGTTCTTAAAAATATGGTATTAAAAGCTGCATCTGTTCTTCGTACTTCCATTTATGAAATTTTGTAGCTTCTTGTCCACTTTTGGTATATTTTCTTTTTTTTAACGATCTTCGAAATAAATCACTTAGGTTAATCCAAGTTTTCTTGCAAAATTGCTCTAAAAAGCAATAAAACTAGAATTAGTGTCTACCGAATTAATATTCAATTAATTTATATTAATTTCATAATTAAATTGTTTTAAAGATATACAGGATGATTCGAGGGTTGATTTGTTTTACTTCGGATTTTAAGATCTTCTGTTTCTACAGTTTTCGGCTAGGTTGGGGTGGAAATTTGGGTCATTTCGCCAATTAAACATTTATTTCGACATAAACGAATTCTGCATTAAACTCTATATTATAAATTTTTAGGTTTTTGGCCAGAGGAGATTCCACTGTTAAACATATTGTGGACGAAGTATTCACATCAATTATTAATAGATTAAAATCTGCAGTAATGCCTTTTCCAAGTGAAGACCAATGGAAAGTTATAGCTTCTGATTTTTGGCTTTTATGGACTTTCCCGAATTGCTTAGGAGCCATCGATGGAAAGCATATCGTTATTGAATGCCCAGCAAATAGCGGATCTCAATATTTTAACTATAAAAAAACGTTTTCCATTATACTGCTAGCTTTGGTCAATGCTCATTATCAAGTTATTGCCGTAGACATAGGTGCCTATGGTAAAAATAGCGATGGTCGCATTTTTTCTCATTCACAACTTGGAAAAAACTTGGAAAATGGAAGATGCAACATACCAAATGAAAGTAGTTTACCCAATACGTCTGTTCAACATGATACATGTTACGCATTAGAAAAAGAATGGTCTGCAATAATTGATGCACTGGAATTTATTACCGAAAGCAGAAATGAGAAACCGACTACGCGATCTGAAGCTACGGGATTGCAGCGAGAATTAAAGCATTTAGAAACAGCAATCCTAGTCATTGTTTGGAATGTAATTTTAAATCGTTTTAATGGTGCTAGTAAGAAGCTTCAAGAATCTCAAGCTATTTTATCAACCGTTGTTCAGATCTATAGTTCTCTGGCTCTATTTCTTCAAGACATGAGAGACAGACAATTTTTTGAATATGAAGAAAAAGCCATAGCACTATCTGGAGTTCACGATTATTATCGTTATGATACTCGTCGCAAAGAAACCAGAAGAATTCAGCCAGATGAGTCACAGGTAAATGAAAGAACACCTTTTTTCTGAACAAGAAAATTTTCGCACAAATGTATATTTCCCTATTCTAGACACTCTAGACTGGTTTATAATCGTTGTTAGAACAGACCATACATAGCGCAATATACGGCATATCTTACACATGTAATAGGCTTTTACCACCCCGATGGTAAATGCCTGGGTGGACCTATTCTGTCCGCCAGCTTGTCAGAGCGATAATCTCACCTTAAGGCAACTATTTACACAACAAACCATTTTATGTCTTATAGCTATTAGAATGCATTTGGGTATAAAATAATTACAGTTTAGAAACCACGGTGAAATTTATCAGTTTTATATAATTTTTGTCAGTTTATGGTAAGAATATTTGTTTTCTTATAGAATAACATTACATGTTTCTGTTAAATAGGATGAACCAAAATGTAGATAAATTTGTAAACTCATTCATATTCATAAAATTGACAAGCGCATTAATAAGCGTTTCATTGTGTTCGCCACTCACAATAATTATAAAAATACGATCATTATTCTTTATAAAAGGAGGGTTTCGATCAAATAGATAAATACAAAAAAATCCTATTACAAGATCACGATGGATACGCTCTTGACCTGAAATCGACCTCGATGAAACAGATGAAAGAGTTTCTCCACATTCATCAACCCATCGCATCGTGAGATTTTGGTTGTTTTGTTGCCCAATTCTGTACGTAAGATTGAAAGTATGTATCCCAATATTTGTTCCTGGGAAGCAAGTTATAGATTTTTTCTCTTATAGTTTGTTTATTTTGGGTCAATTTTTTTTTAATAAATATGTATTGACGTAGTTAGCTAATAAACAAATAAATGATTTTTTTTAAAGATATTTGAAAAGCTTGATGTTGGTATACACAGAGTGTCCAGAATTTACGTATCAATGGAGCTACCACAGATTTATGGGCTCAAAATAAAAATTTTTAACCAAACTCACCTATATACCAACTTGCTTCGTTTGACCACTAGAAGTCAACAAAGTTAAATAAAAAAATATGATTTTTTGTTTTTAATTTCCAGGATTCAGCCATTTTAAAATATCAAACTACAAATACTAGATGTCTTATGGCCAATTTAAAGTAGCTGGAATATATTTTTTTTATTGCTAACATAAGCATTTCAATATGGGGAAGCCAAAAGACATTTTCTCAAATTTTGTTTGTCACTTTTTGATATTTTTGGTATTATTATAGAAAACTATGGACTTTTTACTTATAAAAGTTGTTTGATGTCGCCATGATGTACTATGAAAGTTAATATCAATAATATAATAATACACAGCCACACAAAAAAAAAATCGGATCGGACCGTGTTTTCTATGTTTTTGGAGTCGTTAAATTCGAATCCGGGGTCTATTTTACCCTATCACGTCAGGGTTTTGCCATAACCACAAGAAACCCATTATTTGAGGCTTTTCAGCACTTTTTAATGCATATAAGCCTGTGACTCAAACTTTAAACACAAAAGCGAAGCTGCTAACTCTAAATCCTTAAACTTGTAACCCCATAAACACATAACCCTATATTGCAATAGCCCAAAAACCTTAAAAACGCTATATTTAAGAGCAACACAAAATATGTTTCAGATCTTCTTTTTTATATGTTTTTAGGATCGCTGAATACAAATCCGGGTTCCGTTTTACCCTATCACATCAGTGTTTTACTATAACCTCAAAAAACACAATAATTGAGTATCAATGTAATATACGTTCAATAGGGCCGAAAGGCATTAATTATGGCGTTTTATTTAAGGTTATGGGGTTATTGCATTAAGGGGTTATGAGTTTATGGTGTTATAGGGTTCTGGGCTTGGAGTTAACACCAAGGCTTTTGTGTTTAAAGTTTGGGTTACAAGCTTATATACATTAAAAAGTGCTGAAAAGCCTCAATTATTGTTACTATCTACATCTAACACACGTCTAGGCATTTTTAAAATTTCCGCTAAATTTACAATATACATACAATGTCAACACTTGCAAAGAATCAATTCAACTGCAATATTTGTAACAAATTTAGTAGCCTTCGCTAATGTTATTTTAATTTAATTTCTTGGGAAGCGGCTTATTGGAACTGGTTGTCAATGACTAATTTGCATAATTTTGTTAATCCGAAACTCGCGTAAGTATAGCGAACAAACTGTACATAGATTTCATGTTTGAGTTGGACTAAAACTGAAAAATCTCGTAAATGGAGTTAAAATCTTTACCGCCAGGGAAGATATTTAAAAATTTATTTATAAAATGTACTTCATGAATGAAAATTGGGACGTTTACAGAAAAATTATATTTAGCTTTTCTTATTAATTAATTAAGATCTACAAGTCTCCTTATTTACGGTACTTTATTCTGAAACACTCTATATATACGGAAATATTTAGGTACCTCCACAAAAAAGACCAGTGGAGTAATATTTAGTTGGAACTAGATACCGTCTACATTGTTAACAAATAAACAATTAAATTCATAACAATTCTGGCATATTTGTGTCTTGGGGAAAAGCTAAAACTCTCACTTTACGTATACAGGGTGAACCCTAGGTGGATACCTTTTTAAAGCGTATAGAAGAAACGTTTTTTCAAATGACTATTTCAAAAATACTTAAAAATAAGATAGATAATTAAAATATCTATATCAAGACCTGGACTTATGTATCCAAAATTAGGCTAAATGAGAAGTTTGTTAACATATTCACCTTTTTTACCTTTTTTAGGTTTTTATCACCGGGTATTTAAAATTTACTCGGGTGCGATCTGTAGCGTATTTATATGACAACTTCTAAATATGTTGCTCATTTATGTCGAATGTCTTTAAAGTGCATATAAAATGTATTTCAACACTTCAGTAAATGACGACAACTTCTAACAGATTATTTAAGTTCCTTATTTTTGAGTTTTGTTGATTTTTAATGATTTCTATACAAAGTATTAACTTTTAATTCGCCCTGTGTAAAGTAAGTCATCCAAATGATCATCTTCTGTTCTTAAACTTCTTTTCTATACCTCGAAGTAAGTTTCTTTCGTTTCCACTTGTTTTGGTAACTTTTAAAATACTTTATGTATTTTACTAATTCTACTACTTTGTTTGGTTTTTTTTTCCTTAAAAGTAATATATGTATGCATTTTGATATAAGTCTTTCATGTTCTGATTATATAAACATGTTCTCTCTCTATCATTTTTTCTAGTAGCAGTAAAACTAGACCACCCATGTGAGGCGATCAGTTTAATTAAAATTAATGATTCGCAGCTGTTCATTTATAATGTTAAACAGTTAATAGATTAATTTAAAGGAAAATAATTAGTAGTTTAAATAGGAGAAAAATGAAAGTTTGTGAATTAAATAGTGAAATAGAAGAAGAAAATTATCACGCCCTACTCACCCTCCCCCAATAGCAGTGGAATCAGTAGAAAGAGTGCTGTTCTTGAGAGAAACCCTGGGTAAGAGGACTGACCTGCTAACAGAGTAAACTGATTTCTGGTTTTTATGTCCGGTTTCTATGGTGGCCAAAGGATCATCGGTAATATTCTCTTTTTGTTTTCCATTTTTTAGGTCCGTTGATCCGTTGGATGCGTCTGTTACTTTGGCAGGACCCAACCACCTAAGCATATTTCAGTGTAGAAATGATTGTTAAAGTTGGTGTGGTTGTGGATAACATTCTTGATAGTAGCAAAAACCTGTAACAAAGAATTATCATTACATTATTGGAGAACTCTTTCATATTTTTAAAATAATAATAAAATAGTTAAAAAAAGTAGCAGAAAATCAACCATTTTGCATTCCAATTCTACCTGTAAGTATTAATGTTTGGTATATACAGTCATTATGCTCAAAAGTTTCCTCCCCCTCGTATATTTCGACCTATTTAGCAAATACATCCAATTTCGTACTCTTGGTCAACTGATAGTATAGTATTAGTTTAATTTTTTATTATTTAAAACGTCTTTAATGTTTTCATTCGCTAAAGTACATTAATCACTTGCGCTTGCGTACTGAACACCACTCTGTCCAACATATTAAGCAGTAGTTCAAGATATATACAAATAAGCATTACAGGATGAGGTATAAATAAAATGTGTAGCTTTTGAACCTATGCTACGTTCTGAAAATTAATTAATCAAAAACAAGCACAACCTTCACATTAACAGGAGTCTTCGGATTTAATTTTTTGTTAATTTGTTTGTATTAACATACAAATGTTTATGAGTATATCCTTTTGTTAAAATTCTCTTACTTAATAAACATTAAAAAGATTGATTTTTTACTAAAGTTCTCTCGACCTCTGGCGACCCCCCTACAGAAGCTTCGCGACCCCCCAGGGGGTCGCGACCCACATGTTGAAAAACACTGAATTTTAGCAGATTTGAAATCTGTAGTTAGGAGCGTACTGGATAACGCTCTTTTAATGGATTTTTATTATTTTATCCGGATTTTTAAGGAAATGTCCGGAATTTTAATAAGGAATGTCAGGAAAGTGTATTTTTGAATATGGTAACCCTACCTTAGGGAGTCATTTGAGGACATTGGTTCATGTCCTCAAATGTATTTTATTATTACACTAAATAACCTCTCGATGTTTGTTCCCATAGTTTTGATTCACCCAGTATATTATCCATTAACGACCGGAAATAAATGCACCAGTAAATTCGAACTTTTGGCAATTTTAATCGGCAATATGATTAGTGGGAATCTGTTTTAAAACTTTATTTTTATTAATAAAAAAAAATTCTTTGAAATTTTGAGCAAAAATTTATATTACATTAGTATATTATGCAACGATCATGTAATGATGGTTATTAATACACGAGCATTAACCGGGATACGAAACGAGCCAAAGGCGAGTTTCGTATGGTTTATGCGAGTGTTTTAATAACCATTACATGAGAGTTGCATACGCTATTTTTTCTACACCCGATAAATAATCAAGACCTATAAATATTATATTTATATTGGTATTGAACACAATAACAGTAATTACTCGTATTTCTATAAAAAATTCTACAAAATTGTAATTAATGGTATTACTTCAGGTATTGGTATTTCCCTAGATTTTTGCGGTAAAATATTTTGTACTGTATTTTCTGCTTTCTCCGATATGTGTGGAGGAGTCTTCTATATCGCTAATATCAGACATTTTAATATTATAATTATCGAAGTTTAGCTACCTACGAAAATTTAATACGTTTTGACAACTAAAATAATTACATAGGAACCTAGGACAAACGTCAAACAGCATGCTTGATTGAAAAATTGTAGGTTTCTATTGATTAAAAATCTGTATCGTAATGAAAAATCTGTATCATAATGGGTATCATTATGAAACGGATTATGGGCATATAAGTGCATTATTATAATACGGGTGTAGAAAAATATATTAACATTTCGTATTTTTTTATTTTTTTGATATTTTTTTACCATTTTTAAATTATTGTGATGATTATATTATTCAGGAGACTAGGTATTACACAAATGGTTATAATAATTTTTGTATATTATTATAGTAAAATAATTACTGCTTTATAGCGATATAATTACTTTAATACAACAGGTTAACTAGAACATTTTTTATGTACATAATTACAGTTTTAAGTCAAATGTATATTATTTCCAAGATACTTATCTGCTCCATTTCAAAATATTAGTTAACATTGTTATTAACCTTTTGCTTTTAAAAGTAATTAGAATTTTAATTTATTTACGCTTAATTAGTTTATTGAGAGTTTTTTCTTGTTTTGTATTTTAGAATGTTTATTAACGCAAATTAATGCAAACGCAAAAGATGATTATTGAATTTATTAAATACAAATTTATACGTTACCTAATATTTTTATTTACTAAATTGGGCCTTTTATTTCTATAAAAAATAAAAGTACGTTATTTTTTGTCGGATTTAACTGAAGATTGTGATTTTTTTTGCATGATTGTTGAAATTCAAAATCTGAATCCTGCTGAATATATGACAGTTTCATTTGGATGGCCAGACATATACAGGAAAAATAAAAGTGGTCCAAGTAATGATCCCTGAGGAACTTCGAAAATTCGAAATATAACAAAATAATTACTAATGAGTATACGATGGCTCCGATTTGACAAATAAGACTTGAAAACAGATAGAGTGCAATATTGTACTTAAATTTTAGTTATTTTCAATAGTGCACTAGCATATTTTTATATTCCCAATTAGTTTCCAGTTGTTGCAGATATCTAACCTATATTTACACAATCTGGCTTTTCCCATCATTCCCAAGTCAAGGGGTGGGAGGTTTAGAATCGTTTCCATAGAGGCTGTCATTGTACTTCTCACTGTTCCAATAATACAAAGAATCGCCAGCTATTGTACTTCCTCCAAATAATCGCTCCACGTATTATTAAGAATGCCAGTGAAACATTTTCTATGGGATCGAAAGCAATGGGTCTGCTGAATATAGTGCTTCTCCCGGTGTTCCACAAGGGTCCCCTCCTTTTTATTATGTTCATTAATGAGATTGCAGATATTATAAATGTAAATTTTCTTTTGTATGCTGATGATTTAAAACTATACTGCCTCGTGGAGAAGATAGACGATTGCGGGAACCTCTCAACAAACTTAGCACGGGTTGTAGAATGGTGTTATCGAAATAACTTATCACTAAATCTGGTTCAAAAGCGAATATCCTAATCTTTAACTATTCGATAGAAAACGTTGCCCTTGAGTGACTGAAAACATTTACTGATATTGGCGTCAAGTTTGACACTGCACTGCATTTAATATAGCACATTAATAATGGTGTATCCTCCTCCTATCGCATGTATAGATTAATTGCATTAAGAAATACAAATTCTGCTTAACATTTAAATAAAAAATCTGTGATTTATTAATAATTATATTCTGTTAATTCCTGCTCTGTAATTGGTTTTATGACTTGTAGATTATTGCATTATAAATAAATAAAAACAACCTACTACTTCACTATATTTGACTACTTTATTAAATAATAACAAATACAGATTTTCGTAAGAGATAACCGCGAAAAATGGGAAGTATAAATTGCAGTCAAAGATGATCCAATATATTTTAAAATGTTATGTAATTAACAAAAAACCACAACCATTTAAACAATCAAATCTTAAATAAAAGAAAAATCCATTCGTCACACCTAATTCGTTATTTTGTTGTTTTGTTTCTTACAGCAGATACAACTCGCTATGCACTTAGCTTATTTCTCAATTTTATTTCACATCAGAACTTGCATAAGATATAAAGTAATTACACATTAACTGTTATAGATTAAATAGATTTTCTCGAGTTGGAGTTAAAGAAATGAATTTCGATATCTCTTGTATCTGAAGTACTAATTAGTATTGAAAAGGTGTGTAAGTACGAGTATGTTTGTAATACTGTTTATGGAACTATCTGAGAGTAAGTAATGTTATTGTTTGGTTTCATTAAATAACTCATTCTGTATAAAGAAAATTAGAACAAAATCGAGTGGTAATTGCGCCCACATCTGTCATATTCCGACTTTTTATATGAGATGTAATAAAAGAAACAGAAAATAATAGAAAACAAGTATTAAATACAAGGGTCTTTCTGTAAATGTTGAGATAAGCCTTTATTAAAAATTGTACTGATTATGTTCGAATTAAACCCTTCTAAGTTTAATATACCATTGAAGCTACGATATGAAACTAAAACTCCTGCTTATACCATTTAATACGTTGTCGAACCTTATACCCTCTAGTTTAAATTAACAATGTACCCCCTGCTTTATTATAAACACAGTCACAGTTATAACTTTAAATAAAAAAAAAATATTAATGTCGTTATAGTGTAAAAAAGTAACTTATCCTTAACTATTAGAATGTCCCAAAAAGTCAAAAATATGTATATAAATGATTATGGCACAACAACAACAAATATATAACTATAATCAATGTCCCTAGGACGGAAATCAAACCAATAAAAAAATTGTCTTTGTTGGGGCTGATTAATCCCCTATCGCTTAATTAAGTAAAACTTAATGCATTAGTCTCATAGGTGTTGGTACCAAAGCATAGACTTTATGTGCAATCTGCACAAAATAAAATAAAGAAATACCGATAAATATAGTCACTTGATTTTAATCGTACAATTACCATTACCTAAACGTTGAATGAATTAAATCCTATTTACTATGACATATACTAACTTATAAAACATACTACTAAATATTATTACTAAATATTACTAAAAAACTTAAGTGTTTAAGCCATAAAATGTTATGAATGAAACAAAATAAATTAAATAAAACCCCCTTTCTTGAGTCGGTGTTTTCTGTTGAACCTCGGTGAACATAACAGCTGTATCTCAGCGGCTCCTCAACCAGAGGCGAATAGATGAAACCTCAGATCACACTCTTAGTGTCTGCCGGAGTGGTAGTAGAACTTTTTGAGGTGGAACAACAAAAACAAACGGTAAAACCTCCACAACGGTGAGATCATGTTACTTGTTAGTGATAGTATGTGTAACCAGACACTGAAACCTTTTTTTAAGGGTGTGTGGCTATAGCAGTCGACAAAAACGACGAAAATAGTATATAATCCTAAAAAAATGGCTAAGAGCAAAAAACTAATTTATACACAAAATCCAAATGTAGTTTTGTACGCCACCAAACATCCACAAACGACAGATTGTTTACCTTTTTTTTTAATTTTATAA